TCTAAATAGCCTCATTTATTTAAGATTGGAAAGGGGCAAAAGATTGAATACCAAAAGAAATCATGGCCATGGGTTTCCTAGTAAATCATTCTTCCATGAGCACCTCCACTTCGACTTAGGAGTACTGATCCAACTTAATAAATTAGTACAAAAGCTTTTAACAGAATGGCTAAGAGAGTTTCACATGTATACCCAAGAGTCTGAAAATTGATGTCAGAATTCAACAGGGAGAAGCTAAAAGCATAGTTGATTTTACTTTCTGTTTTGGTCACAGAGCAAAGGAGAATTGTTGCTCTATTAGAATCAGTCTATATCAAGAGTTCTGGGTCACAGTGATTATGTGCCTTGAGGTAGAGGAACTTAAAAATGCTATATTGACGTCATTTGAAATTATCCAGGATATCCAGAAGGCCAGTAGGACCACTAGACAAAGGGACTGTGCAGAGAAGGTCATTGAAAATCAGTGTCCAGGGCAAAGCTATATGTCCAAGGAAAATGAGATGCGTGGATTAGGAAAAATGTAATTGAGAGATCCCACAAGAAAAAAAAAAAACTCCTTTAAACAGTCTATAAAGATCAGAATACCAAGTTTACAGCTTTGCTCAAAAATTGTCCTGTTAGACTTCCCACTCTAACAATTTGACCCTGAGTGAGAAAGATGTAAAAAGACTGTAGGAAACTAAAGAAAAAATAAAAGAAAAAGTTGATCATACAGCACACCCCACTAAAAGAAAAAAGTGTAATTAAATAAAGCAAAATGTTGGCTGCTACATAGTTCTAGATGTATGTAATGCCTTAACCCAAACTATATGCTGCAAAACAATTGTACACATGAATGAGCAGAAAAGCAAGAAATCATCTTAATCTAAAGACAGAAGTAGTAGTACTCATTTGTGAATACAGCTGTAAGGAAGATTCTGGAAAAATAGAATATAAAGATACTTTTGAATATATCATGAGTTGTTCTTGTTTAATTTATCAGATATATACATATGTTTGCTAATATATTTTTCACACCATACAAAAAAGAAGCTCATGGACTATAAATAAACTATACACCTTTTTTGCATTTGAATAGGGAACCTTAGCATTTTTTGTGACCTCCGTATTGGCAACCATTCTTATTGATAGCCAGGATGATGTTTAACACAAGTAGGAATTTTACTGTGAATAGAACTTGAAGTCACACTGGCCTGTGTCATGTGCTATCACAGAAAGCAGCAGTGCACAGAGCCAGACAGTGTAAGGAAGGCAAGTCCCCACATACATTTTACCCATTTTAATATTAATTTAGTACCTCTTTTTCACTTGAGCAACTAATCTTTTTGTAATTAATTTTAGTTCAAAAAGTGATAGAAAATATAACTCCTTTGTTATAAAAGTTACATTTGATTTGCTTAAGATTATTTGTCATTTAGTTCATGGCCCTCTGATTTCAGGAGTAAGAACACAAACACTCCCAAATATCTGAAAAGTAGTTTTGTATCAAAAATTCAATGTAACACACTCTGAGTGTTCTGAGCTCAACTGATTATGGAAAATTGCCTTCTTCTGATGAAGTAATCTACATCTAGATTTTGTCACCATGGTAAAAACAGCTTCTTCCAAATTTATTTTACAAGGAAGTTGGTACTTAGGAAATGATGTTCACTTCTCTTTAGAGAAAAATACATCTTTTGAAAAATGATTTTTTCTTTTAAAAAGAACTCACTGCTCAAATTTTCTTAAAATATATTCAATGATTTTTAAAATTTTGCCTTTCAACAGTTGGCAAGGAAAGACATTTTACTGTCATAAGTAGTCCATAATAAAATGAGTACAGCAGAGTGTGATAAAAATCAATATGAAAACCTTCATTAACATATCAATGTTATGTTTTGAAGTCAAAGCTTTTCATAAAAAATGAAAAAAAAATATTGACTAATTATAACATATAAAATGCATATATTATAAAATATACATTTTCTTTTATAAGGTATCTATCTTAGCAAGTGTTTTTTTGTTTTGTTTTGTTTTTTATAGCTTGAAGTCATCTGGCACCCAAAGAGCTTTTGATTTGGCCAGGGATGCATAGACCCTGAGGAACATAGACAGGCCTTCCAAGAAAACCTTGCCTGCACTTCCCTCCTACAATGACAGTGAGAACTCAGAGTCATTTTGAGAGTGTCAGTGTATCCAGAAGACATCATTTCAAAGATATCTTTGAAATGTCATATCGCATCCTAATATAAAACTTCCATGGCTGTCTTGTATTAGTTTTCATATGTACCTCCCAATTCACTGTTTTGCATTCCATAGGTTTACATACACCCCCAAACACACATATGCCAGTCTTCTAAATGGTTTATACATTTACTGTGTAAGAGATAATAACTTTTATTGAATGTCTATTTAATGAGAAAAGAAAGACCTAAAACTTAATGAAATTCTAAAATCTCAAACCTAGTGAGAGACAGAGTAATACTCAAATCAGTTTACCTGACTTCAAAGCAAAACTGTTTACTATACAATAGTGCCTTATATTTGAGCTGCAAAATACCTAAATAAATAAAGTCTATTTCCTTTAAACCTCTCATCAATTAATGATCTTCAAGAACATTAGAGTGATTTCTTTGATAATGGATGGCATGTCTTTTAGAATGGGAAAAATGAGTGTTTCCCCTTAACACTTTGGGGTCTCTTGATATCCCTAAGTTTTGCCTGGTATCAAAGTTTGGACTGGACCTGGACTGGAATGAGCATCCTGGTTACATTCTGACTGTTGAGGATGAAGTGTGCACTGCACATGGAGTTCTAGGTTAATTCCAGTCCTCTATGGTAGCTAGAACAAGTAAACCAGCAATGAAATAAATTATAACTGTTAAATATGATGCTAAGTATGAGGAAGGGGTAAGCTAACACTTTTCATGTGCATGTACTCATTGGTGAGGGGCAGTGAATATTTGTGATACAAAAAGTTATGGATGAATGAATGATGAGTTAAAAAAGGAGATAGAGAACTGAGTTAAAATTTAACCTTAATAGCCTATAATTTCCTTTTCTAACACCTTTTTGAACTGTAGTTTTCTAAGTGCATAATTGTTCTCATTAGCTCATGTCTATTTCACCACTATTATTTATACTAGTTGAAAACTACCAAAATGATTTGTTTGTCCTGAACTCACCAAACTGTCATTAATTATCACCAAATTATCAATAATTTGTCCATAAGCACTATGAACAATAACTAGGGACACCGGAGAAGAAGCTTGTCTCACTCACAGCCCGCCTGCAGCTCATTCCTCTGAAGCAGGGGCTCATCAGTGAGGCAGCACAAAGGCATTGATATTTTCAATCCTGCACTCATTTTCAGCTCTCTAATCTGAATTTTCCCTAAATCCTTCAACCTTGATCTTTTTAAGTACTTACTAGCTGGTAATATCATTAGTCACTTTCTACATATCAAAGCAGAACTTAACTTTACCTTGTCTCTCTTTAATAGAAAGTGATCTCCAGATTAAACTGACTGAGATTCCATCTACCTAGAGAATTTATCTTTTCAACAGACTTTCAGAAACACTCCATATAGTCTGACATAGAAATTCAGGAGCAATCCAATTTTAACTTGTTTTAGCATATTATGCAACTCATTTGCTAAAATGTGGTACTTCCTGGTCATCTCACACAAACATCACCCCATACTGCTGTGTTTTGATGAAGGAATGGGAGTAAAACAGAAAAAAAATGCAAATCAAATTTCAAACCAACTGTTTTCAGAACTTAGAAACCTACCTATCTGGTCCAATTCCTTAATCCATTAGCCCCACCAAAGAATCCCATCTATCAAAAATGTTTTTGTTACTTTCCCAGCCCCTGCTGAATATCAAGGAGCCTTGCCTTACTTGGGGACCACAGTTTTGATTCTGGTCTTTATTGGGCAATAAAATTTTGATTCTGGGCCTGTGTCACCCTCCTCAGAACCCCGAGCCCCAAATACTCTCCTTGAATCAGTAATCCTATTTCAATAGCAACATCATTACCAATATCATTGTAGCATTTATCAAATGAATCCTTACCAATACATTTATTTTTATGGTTTCATGGGGCAAGTTTAGAGAATTACACAAGATATAACCATTCCAACTAGGTGCCTTATAATTTGTATACAAGATTCTGATTGATAGCATTCAAGAATAAGTTACTTATAATGTTTATAATTGTTTTTTGGTCTAACTGCTTAAAATTTTATGATTAAGCTCTATAATTAAAGCTGACCACACTAAATCAAGATGGTATTTCAGAATGCATTTCATGTTTTTACATTATTAGATCAGAATCTGCAAAATATACCTTTACTGATAATTTTTTGTGAATTAAATTCATGTTCTTCTTTATACTACTTCTATCTTCCTCACCTCATAAAAGGCAATATATTTCACCAGTTTCTTAGATGAAAACATCAATGTCTTTATATTTATCTTACATTCTGTTTCATCAACAACTCCTACTGATTTTATCACCAAAAGTTTTCCTAAATTCAATCACTTCCTTTTTTGCTTTATGAAAACAGTATAGGAGGAGCATGAGATAATTGTTTGAAACTATAAATCAGATGATGTTCTTTTAGTGCTCATAGTGCTCCAATGATTTTCCACAGCTATAGAATAAAATTCAAATATTTAACATGACCTATAAACTGCACATCACCCAGCTCCTGTGTCTGGAGCCTTATTTCTTCAGTTTTATCCCTCTTGCCCTCCACTTCAGTGACATTCTTTCTTTTTTTACTGTTTTTCAAACTGCCCAAGATGTTTATTTATTTTTCCTAGTATTTGAAAGATAATTCATACACATTTCCCCATTCTGCTTTTTCATATCACTCAGGTCTGCACAAAATTTTACTCTTCCTAATGGTGTTCATGGTGTTCATATCAGAGCTTCACAAGCTCCATGTTCTTATCTACCACACCATTTTATATTTTCTTAATGTTTATAACACAAAATTATGTACATTTACTTACTCATTGTAGTTGAATATATTCCTCCAGTAGAGCAGTTTCATGAGGGAGAGAGTCCCTTCATGTCTATCTTCTGTTACATTCTCAGCAGTGGAACAGTGTCTAATACAGGAATTCCAAGACTATTTCTTAAAAGACTGAAAAAAAAAAGAATTAATTAATGAATGGGTATATGATTAATTAATAAATATAATACAGCCAATGGAAAATATTTTGAAACAGGGAAGTGAGCATTGGACTGGTAAAATTATATAGAATATTGCACAGAAAAACTGATAATTCTGCAAATGATAAATACAAAAAGAGAGAAAAGTGAAAGACAATTTACATTTTTTTGCCTAACTTTACAGAAGGATAACTGTGGTTTTATCCTAGGAATGATGATACAGATTAAGGACAGATTATCAATTTTTATGTGTGAGATAAAATGAAAGCATTGAGGTTGGAGAAAGATGAAGTAGTTATTTGGGAAGAATAAGATTACTCTTGTTAATTTAAAGTTCAGGTAAACCTCTGAAAGTTAATTAAAAAAAATGCATGAAAATGTTTCATGTATCTTGTTTTTTGTAAACAAGAAAATACATGCAGTGTGTTCAGTGATGTTTGTTTAACATATCGAAATAATGCAATCAGCGATAGAGGAATGGATAGAATAAGAAAAGAGATTTCAAAGAAGCAAAATTCGGCAATACTGATTCATCACTGTTTGGAAATAAATAATTTGAGGAAACATGAGAAAGTTGGCATTGATAGTGTTTTCTGCTGTATGAGGTAGGAATAATTTACTAACTTCCTCATGAAGTAGATGAAATATCTCTTAAGGGTGCCTGTTTTTCTACTCTTTCATTGCCTGGTCATCAGGCAAACTTTTGATCAATAATTAATTTCTTTATATAATTCAAAGAGCAGGAAATGAGCTGCCCTAGCTAGAAATGTGATCACTGGAATAAATTAATATATTGGAAATCTGATTTATTTATCAATCTCTTGTGAATTTACATTTTGGCTTGAGAGTTTAAAAAAATCCAAATGGTTGAAAAATACAGTTTCTGGACTTTGAAGCAAGAATGGGACTTTTATCTTGGATATTACAAGTGTTTTTATTGAATAAGCCTAGCTATATGAGCTACCCATACATAATTTTACATTTTTTTCCTATTTCAACAAGTTCTCTGAGTTCCTACATATTTCAACCTTATAATAGTTGAGGCTATTAATTTTCTTAGAATAAATCACTTGTAGAAAATAATTAGAGTTAAGATAATAGAGTTTTAACAATAATTTAGAAAGGTCATACACACTAGGAATTTTTTTAAAAATATTTATTTATTTATTTATACAGATTGATTGATTGATTGATTAATTGATACAAGCACTGGGTACAGTCAGAAGCGCGGGAGGGTGAGAGAATTCACCAGAGCCAGAGTGGGGAGCAGAGCAGGCAGAAGAACTGAAGTACACTGCTGAGGGGAGCAGCGGGCGGCAGGAGAGGTCTGCGCGCCATGTGGGACCCTCCTCCGGTGTCCGGGGAGAAGCCGGGGATCGAACTGGCGCTGCAGAGGCTGCGGGAAGCTTCGCAACCCAACGCTCAACTGCTGCGCCACCAGGGAGGCCCGCAAACTAGGAATTTTTACATAACCAAGCATATTTAATTTGGTGAAATTTAATGATGAACTGTTGTCCTTCACATTTTTCCCTTTTCCTTAGTTATTCCCTAAAAAAAGTGAAAAGTTGTGTTGTGGAATATAATATTTGTACACTTAAGCTTCATTTTGAATCTTTTATTCATATATTATCATTATAAACAGTGGTTTAGGAATTTTGTCAAAAATGTTTCAATTTTTGCTAAAGTGCTATTATTTAAGAGCTCATTAAACAAATTTGTATTTAAAACCTCTACCATATATGGGAATTGTATGGGGTCTATAACCAAAATGAAAATACATACATTGTGCAAAAATGAAAAATGATGTAAAAATATATAAAATGAAAACAAATCTCATCAAAAAAGTTAAATAACAAAGGCTATTGAGTACATTTAAAAAAATATATAGCACATGTTTGAACACTGATTGAAACTGCCACAATAATTATCAAAAAAATAGTGATTGAAAAATGATAGCTTAAAAACTCAATGTCTTAAGATATCTTTGGTTAAAATCAAGCGGATTTAAATTTAGCTAACTTTCAAAGGAAAAGTCATTGAGTAAGTACTTAGAAACAAGTGGAATTAGGAAAGCCCTGTGATCCTTGATATATTTTAGAGTATATTTTAGAGTATTTTAAAATAGAGAAATATTGTAGCTTTACTTTTTATCACCAATGGATGAAATCTGGAATGTCTCACTTTCAGGAACTTAACCCTATTTTTAAAATTTTTGTTCTTTCATTAATTAATTAACATGTAATATCTACATGTTCAATCCATTTATGCTTTGAACAAAACGAGAAAAACATGTTAAACATGAACTCTATATGCTCCTCTATTACATGATATTTATGATTTTTAGCTTTTGTGTGTTGTTACAAAATGAAATAAATGGGGAGCAATTTACTATGCAATAGAAAGCAGCAGTGCAGCTGTGATAAATGTAAGTTGTAGATAGCAGCAATCAATAAAGGAGCCATTTATTAGCATGCAGTAGAAGAAAAGTGCTGGATTAGAATATTAAAAACAATAACTTCCCATTTTCAAAAAAGGTTGTAATAAGATAAAATATCCAATAGTGAAATCTCAATCATCACTATTGTTTCTTAAGTGTACAGTTAACCAAGTCACATTTACCAAGTAACAATTATGTGCATAAAGGATAATTAGAAAACTAAAATTTAGCAGCATATAAATCTGGAAGAATTTCCAAAGCACATTACAATAAATACTAATTTGAAATGATAGATTTTTAATAGACATTTGATATCTGAAACTTGATTATTGAAAAGGACTTATTTTAAAAGTGTACATGTTGCCATGGCAATAATTTATGTAAAAAGTTAAATACAACAGGATCACAGATATGGTTTGGCATGCATACATATGTATTTATATATAAAATGATATTCAAGATAGGCTTTATATTGATGTCATTTATGGTCTCTTTTGACTTATATTTCTCCTCACTTTGAGTCCTATTTTATCCTTCTTTGGTTGCCTGTTAATCTTGATTGAATATCAGACACACTTAATTTTACCTAGCTGAGCACTGGATATTTTTCCATACCTAAAATAATTCTTGACGTGTATTTCAACAAAGTAAGGTTACTTGGAAATACTTGAGGACCAGGGCAAGTATTTAGTCTTGTGCTAATTTTCTTTCACTGCTAAAATACTCCCTGCTAATTTTCTGAGTATTTTTCAATATCCCATAATTTACATTATTTCCCCACCTTGACTGGTGAAACACAAACTATTCATTGTCCTGTTTGATCTGTGGACACTGCTTCTGTAAATATATTTCAGATGGTTCTTTTCCTAGTCTCAGGTAGTTTCCTCAAACACATGTGTAGATAGTATTCAGCGCATACTCTAGAGGAATTCTCTGCCAGTCTCGGAAGATCTCTTTCACTTAAGCCTACTTCTTCCCAGTGCTCTGCCTTAAAATCTCTAACCATCTTAGCCTCTACAGATTCAATTTCATCTTCTTAACTTCTTAACATCTTTCATCTTCTTAACTTCTTAACAGGCAGATTTTTGCCTGGGTTCCATATCTTTACATTATTGCTGTTGATTCACTGGTTTACACTGTTTCATATGCTCAATGTCTGAAACCACTGTCTTACATATATACATATATCTATAGCTAATCACAAGGGAGCTGGCATGTATATCTAGGTGCATATATATATGAATGTCTGCTGAACTGCCAACACAAACTAGATGTATTGCTGCTGTCTGTACAAGTTCAGTTTGATTAGCAATGGATTGATGATCTGGGGTGGTCAGAAACATTTCATCTAGGGTATTTGCCTCTATGGGTACAACCTGAGGCCTCTATGTGCCAACTGCAGCCATGGATCCAGCAGGTAGACCTGAGTGGGCAGGGAGAACAAATTTTGGACACACTACAATGCTAAGAGGAATGTGAGCAGGCTGCCACACATCTTATATTTGCAAATCTAACCAGTACTGCAGCAGGAAAGTCAGGGGTAGAACTGCTGCCATATTCCCCCATTACTCACTAACTAACCTGTGTTAGATTTAGAGCACCTCCACAAGGCAAGTCCTGAGTGCTGACCAGAAGGCAGTGTCTCAGAGGTGGTTTTAAGCCTGCTCAGGACAACCCCTTGTGCTACGGCCCATGTCTTCCCCAGTCCTGTCCTGCCCTGGGAACTCGCTTTCACTCTCATGGTCTTCTCCCTGCTCCAATTTTTTTTTTTTTTTTCTGACAGCCCTTTCTTTGTTTCTAACACTCTTGTGCTCCCACCAGTTATGGAGCAGACAGGGCCATGACTGTCACATTTCTGGGACACTTTCTTAAACAGAGCAGCAAAAGCCAGGTGCTTAGTGGGACAGTGAGGTTGTAGGAGCTGTGCTAATACCTGTTTGCAGATAATTATTACATTTTATTTGATTTATAATAATAGAAAAAATTTAAACTTTGCATTTGTGTTTATACTTAAAATACAACAAATGATATAATGATTAAAATAAACATAATGGTCTACACTATTTTATTATCATCATCATTTATTATTATTCCTATTGATGGGTTTATAAATTACACATGCTCAGGAAATTTGATCCAGGAGGGAACTAACTGGTATCAGTAGCAGGAATGAAATTTTATAGTCTTATTGGACTTTATGTCAGAAGGCTTAGTATATAAGTTGTCTAAGATATTATAGAGAAGAATACAGGTTTTTCAAATATTAGTGTTCATAAGAATCACCAGAGTCAATTCCCAGTCTACAGTGTTTCTGATTTAATAAGTCTAGGATGAGACCCAAGGACACACATTTTTTAAATTACTTCCCATATGATGCTGATGCAGTGGTCTGTGAATTACATTGTGAGATACACTGGTCCAAAAATCAAGACAAACTAGTAAATGGGGATTTGGACTGGACAGATTTATAGTTATATAGAAGCAAATAGAAGGAACACCTAACCCAAGTCAGAGGAATAAGGAAAATGATAGGA